AATTTATTTATTTTTTATTTTAAAAAATAGATTTTAATTCTTTAAGTAAGTTGATGATACGTTAACTAATAAGTTAAATATTTGGATAAAATAATATATTTATTTGGTAATTAACTAAGTTATTAATTTTTTATAAATATATTACAATAAAACACATTATTAATCTTTTAATATTGTAGTCAAAAATTAAAAAAATATCATCTGATTTGTTTGTAGATTTTTTAAAAAATCCATTATTGATGTATATAATAATTTTTTTAGTTAATAATAAATTAAGAAAAGTAGTCTTGTTAATGACTGTACTAAAACCACTTGTTAAAATTAATTAATTTTTTACAATAATATTCTTTTAACACATTAGTATTAGTCAATTGTTAAAAGTCACCACAGTACTATTGAAGTTTAATCCCATTGGCTTTGAAATAGTGAGAAGGTGTCGTGTCCATGGGTCCAGGCTGTCCCTAAACAAATCAATTTCGAAACAACCATACGGCCACGCCTTAGCATGACAGTATGTCCGATATTTGTACCCCACCACCACCACCTAATTAAATTTGATATTTTTATATAGACATAATAATGCAATATGAATATATACAAATTTAAATGGATTTAGATTAAGTTAATTATGTTTTATATATTAATTGTATCGATTCATTTAAGATACAAATTCGTATTCCATTTAACTTGTTTAAAATAAATTTACAATACAATTAATTAATTATGTTATCATATTTTCATATGACTTGTGAGTTATTTATTATTTATTTATTTAATAATATTTACATGTAAGCATATTCGAAACTCATTTATTGTTTCATATATTTATTAATATTTTTATGATAATTTAAATTTATTGATGTTAAATTTTATTATATATGATAAATATTATAATTTTTATAAATTTTTATTATAAATTTGAATAATAAACTTATATTTTAATTTAATTATTTTAATTATGTTAATCATGTGTTAATCTTGTAAACATATTATAAATCATATAAATTTTAATTATATTAATTATATCGTGTCATATAAAATTGAATTTAAAAATTCTAATAAACTTATTAATCGTATTATGTCGTATTACATGTTTATTAAACATATTCATATATTTGTTTAAAATCTTAATATAATTAATTAATTATGTTATATTCATATTTATTTATATAATTATTAATATTTTATATTTATATAATATAATTAAAAATATAAAAACATAAATTATCAAATCTAATTATGACCACGGCCACAGCTCCAACTCTGACCCACAGGGGCTCCTTATTCTCATCAATCTGTGATGGAAACATTGCTCTAACATTGTGAGTCACTTCGCAAACATAAGGTCCAAACCCAAATTTAACAAATGGGTCTAAAACCTTAGGTCGAACTCCCAAACGAACAAGCTGAGTCTCTCTACTCCTGTATTTGTTCATTCAGGCTGTGGCTCCTCACATTCATTATATATATATATATATCAATACTTGATCCGTGTTTAATTAAAAGATAATGGGTTGAAAGGCCCATCTAGTCTTGGAGGAGTTCGAGGCCCAAATGCATACTCTATTTATATCTTTTTAAAATTATAAAATTACCTTTTTAATTATTATTTTTATAAATAGAAGAGAGAGGATTCGAATTTTACTTTTTAAGTAAGAGAATAACAATTGAGTCAAATGCTCGAGTGCACTCTTTTAATTATTTAAATATTTTGAATTTTCAAAAATAAATTTAGTACATTCAATAAAATATAGTGAGAATATGACTATTTAATAAAATATAGTGAGAATATGACTATTTAATTTCTAGTTGAAAGTAATTTTAATTTTTCTAAAAATATTTTAAAATTTATTTTTTATATATAGTTTTTAAAATTAAATTTCACAATATGAAACGTCTAGACAATAATTACTTAACAAAAAACAAAACTCATTCTTTAGTCTTCAGTATAATGTCATTTTTTGACATTTCAACTCATTATAACACTTTAGCCGTTACACTTTATCATCATGTTCCCTGGCCAAATTTAGCCATACAGCCAAGGAAGATTCTACATTGTCTTGCATGCTTGAACAATACTTACAACAACACTAAATAATATTAATATAATTTAAGAGTAGGTTTAATGGGATTACTCCTTCTCTCTGTTTTTGTTTTATTGAATACAAAGCATTGACTTGCAATGCGTTACATTTCCCAAGTGATATATATGTGTACCCAAGTAGTAAATTGGTGACAAATTTGTCAATAATAAAACCCAAAATGATATTTCTATTCATTTATCCATAGAAATTTGATATGATATCTAAAAATTTTTTTAAACTATTTATAAAAATTTAGATAAATTTTTATACTTTTATTGCATTCAATCAAGCTCTTATATTTTTATTTTAAATTAAATAAATTTTTATATTTTTTTATAATTAAATAAATATTTATGATTAATGATTGACTTAGTCAAAATATTATTTGTCATCCTATGTTGTGTGACGTTAACCTGATATGTTAATATATTATAATTAATAATGATATAACATATTGACATATCATAATAAATAATGACGTAATATACCAATTTGACATGATAAAATGACCAAATGATTTTTTATCTTCACATTAACGCTATATCAGTATCACGTGGATAGAAAATGATGACAAGTAGCATTTTGACTTATGACAATTAGTCAATCATTAGTCATAGAGATTTATTTAATTTAAAATAAAAGTATAGGACTTAATCGAGAGTAATAAAAGAATAAAGATTTATTTAAATTTTCTTGAATAGTTTAGGGATTTATTTAAATATTATGCCTAGAAATTTATTCCTATTTGGTTTAATTTTTTTGTAGCTTAAAAGCTATTATGAAACTCTTATGAAAAATAATAGTTTTTAAAATTAAATTATTATTTTTTAAATAAAGTATATGAACTTTAATTTTGATTAAAATTATGATCAAGTGTATTCCTATTATCTTCAATCACCTAATGCACCAAAACGGAATAAAGTTACGTCGAGCTTATATATGGTTTCATATAATAAGATCAAAGAAATCTATACAAAAATGTAACAGCTATCAAATTTTGTATTGTAGTAATATTATTGGATTTTTGTTGATGTAGCAAGCAATCAAACCATAATGCTTCAATTTTCCAATAAAAAAAAGAAAAGAAAAACAATGTATTTGATATTAATTTTTTTTTTATAAAAAAAAGAGAAAACCTTTAAATAATATCTAAATGCCATTTTAAATTTTTCTAGCGGTTTTTGTACAAAAAGATAAAGAAGGGGAGATCACGATTTAGTTGCAAGATGATGATTTGCATAGAGAAAGAGAGGAGAGAGAAATTGATTAAGAGAGGGTTTTTTTTAAAAGCTAGCATATTTAAAAAAAAAAGGAAAGGAAAACTATTCTTTGGATCTTTTCTTTAAGTTTTGTTTTTTAATTTTGTTCTTTAAAAAAATTATTTTTTTTATTAAAACCACTTCTCAAAATCCTATTTGGCATGTATTCTGCTTTTAAAATATAAACAAATAAAAAAAAGTCAAATAAGCTCTAAGTTTAAATTAGTATGATAGAAAGTAATTCTCTTTTATTATCTTATTAACCTTGCATGTTTGTTTTCATGAAATTTATTTAAAATTCATGTTAAAAATGGTTTTTAACCATAAAATATCCACTTAATTCATTTATATATATATGTAATTGAAATTCATGTATTAAATTAATGTCTTATCCACCTTAAAAAAAAATAGTGACTTATGTATACTATTAATAATAAGTCTCATTTATCTTTCAAAAAGAAAAAGTCTCATTTAAAAATCAAGATGTCAATGAGTAAAAATTTCTTAGGTTTAAATTACTATAGTAAAATGTAATTGTCTTTTATTATCTTATTATTCTTGCATGTTTGTTTTTGTAAAATTTTATTAAAAATTGCTTTTAACCATAAAATATCTACTTAATTCATTTATATGTGTACATAATTGAAATCCATATATTAAGTTAGTGTCTTATCCACCTTTCAAAAAAAAAAATGGTGACTTATCTATACTATTAATAATAAGTCCCATTTATCTTTGAAAAAATAGTCTCAATTAAAAATAGGAACGTCAACAAGCAAAGTACTTATTATTTTCTAAGTACTTTAACTTGAACCTAATTATTTGATAGACTTAGAATCTTATAATACTAAATTAGATTTTAAAATTATTACTCGAATTCATATTTAGATATCTTAAACACCACTCGTTAAATACTTACACAAATTAAATATTCGATTATAATAAATTTAAAATTAATTTATATATATATTATTAATAAAAATTAAATTAATAAATTAAAATTAATTCATAAAAAATAACTAAAGTTTAAAATCATATATCATGAATTTTAATAAATATTACACTAATTATAAAAGAATTATAAACAAAAAGTAATATATAAAAAAATTAAAATTTAATATTAAAAGTCACTATTTATAATTAAATTTAGATAATAAGTACCTTAAAAATATTATCCCAACCCAACCTGTGATGGATAATAATTGGTACAATGATTAAATAAATACTGAAGCCTAATCAAACATAATAAAAATATAAATTTTTTTTAAATAATTCAAAAACTTTTTAAAATATTATACTATAAAAATTTTACTACCTAAATCTGATTATAAGATACTCCCAAGTTCCTTAGTGAGTAAAAGTCTCTTCGACCTACACAGGCCATCAATATTTACAGGGACTAGACACAGCCTCCTACTTTCTTCCCAAAATACCCTCAACAAAATTTCAAGCTTCGATAAAAACCAGTGAAAAGACTCGAAAAAGGTCAGGGTCGGTTCCCCGTTGTCACGAACAGGGTTAAAATAGTCAATTTATCGTGCCTTAAAATCACCACCGGAGTCCTCCACCCTCCTCCTTCCCTGGTAAACTACCCATTTTCACAATTATATATATATATTTATATATATTTTCCCCTTCAGATGAGAAAGCCAAAAAAACGTATAAATTAAAAACCCCAATCAGAACGCACGCTAGGGTTTTCTTCTTCCTCTATTCTTCGCTCTGCAGCAAACGAACAGAGAAAAACCCTTGCTTTAAAATCTCACTTTCACATTGTATTATATAAAAAAAGCTTCCCTTTTTATTTGATCTCTTCACCTTTAAGGTAAGCTCTCAATAACCCATATCTCAAAATCCCTTATTTTTTTTTCCCTATATATTCCAAAATCTGTTCAAAACCCCAGAACTAAAATCAAATAAAGTTCCAAACTGCGCTTGGGAAATTCATCTATACAGGAAAAGAAATTTTAAGGAAAAATCAGTATGGATGATGTTGAAAAGGCAATATTGATTAGCTTTGATGAATCAGGTACCTTAGATTCAGGATTAAAATCACAGGCAGTGAACTTTTGTCAGCGAATTAAAGAAACCCCATCAATATGTACCCTTTGTATTGAGAAGTTGTGTTTTTGCAAGCTCGTCCAGGTTCAGTTTTGGTGTTTACAAACTTTACATGAGGTTATTAGAGTAAAATATGGGTCCATGAGCTTGGAAGAGAAAAACTTTATCAGAAAGTCAGTTTTTTCGATGGCTTGTTTAGAACGTATTGATGATAAGTTGTGTGCTGTTTTGGAAAGTCCTACATTTATAAAAAACAAGCTTACTCAGGTTTTGGTTACTTTGGTTTACTTTGAGTACCCTTTGATTTGGTCATCAGTTTTTGTTGATTTCCTGCCTCATTTGAGTAAAGGGGCTGTGGTGATCGATATGTTTTCTCGGCTTTTGAATGCATTGGATGATGAGTTGATTAGTTTGGATTATCCACGGACATCTGAAGAGGTGGCAGTTGCAGGAAGGGTTAAGGATGCAATGAGGCAGCAATGTGTGGCTCAGATTGTTAGAGCATGGTATGACATTGTGTCTATGTATAGGAATTCTGATCCTGAAATTTGCACTACTGTTTTGGATTGTATGAGGAGGTATATTTCCTGGATTGACATTGGGTTGATTGTGAATGATGCATTTATTCCGCTACTGTTTGAGTTGATTTTGCTTGATGGTTTATCAGAACAACTTCGTGGTGCTGCTGCCGGATGTGTTTTGGCAGTAGTTTCTAAGCGAATGGATGCACAGTCAAAACTAACTCTTTTGAAGAGTCTTCAAATAAGTCGAGTTTTTGGTTTGATATCTGATGATAACGATTCTGACTTGGTTTTGAGAGTAGCAGCCTTAATAACAGGGTATGCAGTGGAGGTTTTAGAGTCTTCCAAGCGGCTGAACTCAGAAGATGCTAAGGTGGTTTCAATGGAGCTTTTAGATGAAGTTTTGCCAACAGTGTTCTATGTAATGCAAAATTGTGAGATGGATGCAACATTTAGTATTGTCCAATTTCTTTCTGGTTATGTTGCCACCATGAAAACCCTTTCTCCTTTGCAAGAGAAACAAATGCTTCACATCAGTCATATACTGGAAGTGATTCGTACACAGATTCGTTATGATCCCATGTACCGCAATAATCTTGATGTATTGGATAAGATTGGGATGGAAGAAGAAGACAGGATGGTGGAGTTTAGAAAGGATTTGTTTGTGTTGTTACGGAACGTAGGTCGAGTAGCACCTGAAGTTACTCAGATCTTTATCAGGAATTCATTTGCTAGTGCTATTGCATCTTCATCAGACAGGAATGTGGAAGAGGTAGAAGCTGCCCTTTCCCTTTTGTATGCACTTGGAGAGTCTGTGACTGACGAGGCAATGAGGGCAGGAACTGGACTGTTGAGTGAACTGGTGACAAATCTATTATCAACAAGATTTCCATGCCATTCCAATAGGGTAGTTGCCCTTGTGTACTTGGAGACGATAACAAGGTATATGAAGTTTGTCCAGGAGAATGCACAATATATTCCTTTGGTATTGGCTGCCTTTCTTGATGAAAGAGGCATACACCATCCAAACATTAATGTGAGTCGCAGGGCAAGTTATCTGTTCATGAGGGTTGTAAAATTGCTGAAATCGAAGCTTCTGCTTTTCATAGAGACGATTTTGCAGGTACCAAATTATCTATTTGTCATCATGATTTAGGTTGCCTTGTTTTATTGTTTTCCTAGTAAATGTTTGTGAATGTGTATGTGCCACCTTATTTCTAAAATTGTTAACTGGATTCTTCTGTTGATGGTCAGAGCCTGCAAGATGTTGTTGCTCGATTTACAAGTATGAATTTTGCATGTAAGGAACCTTCTGGATCTGAAGATGGTGCTCACATTTTTGAGGTATTTATCTCATTCTTATGTTTCTACCCAGTATCCACCCCTCCTGTTTTGGTGCATTTACACGTGTATTCCCACTCTTTCTGTTCAAATGGATAGACATTCATAAATATCCTTCCTCGTGTTGGCAAGTGATGACTTTTATTTGTTGTTATTTTTTTTTTCCTGTGATTTTTCACAGGCAATTGGCCTGTTGATTGGGATGGAAGACGTGCCGCTGGAAAAGCAATCTGATTATCTCTCTTCATTGCTAACTCCTCTTTGTCAACAGGTTTTGATTTGTAGTGTGAATCATACTTTTTTGGTAGTCTTCTTGCTAATACATGCTTCATGCAGCCTGTTTATGAGCAAATTGATGTTTGATCCATGTGTTCTGCAGTATTTTACTCATATGGTTTATATGGCAGGTTGAGGCAATGCTGATGAATGCAAAAATATTGACTCCAGAAGAGTATCCTCTAAAAATTGCCAATATCCAGCAAATAATTGTGGCAATTAATGCTCTAAGCAAGGTTACTCTTCTATTCTTCGATCATCTAATATGCTTCTTGGTGAAGAGTTTTTCCCTTAAACATTGTTCGCTTTCAAAGAATCTTCAGTCACCAGTTATTTTACTGTCATCATAAGAACTTCTAATATGCTACTGAGTGAGAAGCTTTTCCCTTATCATTATTGTGTTTCATTTTATATCCAATCAGTGATGGTAGAGCTGTTTACTAATAGCATATTGTTCATTATTGCGATGTAAAAAACCCTTGTTTGCCTAGTCCTTTGTAATTGGGGATGCTCTCTAAGCTATCTTTTAATTTTTAATAATTTGAGTTGTGATCCTGCATAGTTATCCTTGTAATTTTATTTGTAATTCAGGGTTTCAGTGAGCGCCTTGCAACTGCGAGTCGCCCTGCTATTGGTCACATGTTTAAGCAGGTTAGTTTTTAAGGTTGACGATTTTATTTGTACTTTAGGTGCACCTTTTTTCATGCTCACAGTTGAGAAATTTCCATCATCATCCAGTAATTAATAATGGATCTTTTTGATTGTTTGTTATAAATTAATTACATGGATGTGCTGGAAAGAAACCATGCCATTGTGTTATCTTTATTTATTTACTTTTTAATTTTATTAAAGCCCGCTTATCACTTTTTGAGCCAGACATTGGATGTTCTTCTCCAAATCCTTGTTGTATTTCCGAGGGTGGAGCCTTTGCGGACTAAGGTAAGAGTTCAATGCCAAATATTGAACATATTTGGTTTCGTAGTATCAAACGCATTGCCTAACACTAATTTTCATGGTATTTAGGTTTTATCATTCATACACCGTATGGTGGACACCTTAGGTGCATCTGTGTTTCCTTACCTTCCAAAGGCATTGGAGCAATTACTTGCAGAAAGTGAGGTATAGAACAGTTATAATTGAGCCTTTTTATTTTTTCTTGTTTTTAACGGAAAAGAGGTGCCATTAAAGGAGAATCATTGAGGTAATAACTTTTAATTCTTAATCAAAGAAAACCTCAAATGGGTGCTGGGAATATGTGTAGTTACTGCATGTGGAAATAGGCACAGAATTTTCTCATCAACAGTAGTATCTGATATTGTGTTCGAGTTGTTAATTAATTATATATTTTTTTATCAACACCAAGAAGAAATGTGATCTAAATGGGAGTTACTTTTCAAACACCTACACTTGGGTTTTTTACTTGGGTTTTTTGGGATCTATCTCTGGGTGTGCGAATGTGATGTTTTCTCCTTATCGGGTGTTAACATAAGCTCTTTTGGAAATGATTAAGCTTTTACCTTAATACATGGAAAAATGCATAAAAAGGAGCTGACATTGATGTATTTCAGTTTCATATTTATTTATTTGATTCTGGATTATGTTCTTTTACAGCCAAAGGAAATGGTTGGTTTCCTCTTATTGCTCAATCAACTTATATGCAAATTCAGCACCTTGGTCCATGATATATTGGAAGAAGTATTTCCAGCTATTGCTGGTAGGATATTTAGTGCCATCCGAAGGATTGCTGATTCTTCAGGACCTGAAGCCAATACTGAGGTAGATAATCATCAGTTGTAGGAATTTCTGAACTTTTAACTAATTTTTTGGGTCCTAGGCCCAAGTCTAAGTTTGGAATTATGATATAATGTTCTATAGAGTTTTATCTCTAGTATTATCTGTTGCAGTCATTGTATTGCGTTATGGTTTGAGTTCAACTCAAATTTACATTTCATGATATGTTCTTGCTACAATGTTGGTTGTCCAAATTTACATAGTTAACAAAGTTCTCTATGCTATTACTAAAGAATTTTTTTTCCCAGTTCAATTGTGAAACACTGCAATAGCACATATCTTGAGTCTTTGCAAGCTTATGGTACACGTGCAATTCTTTCTCTGTGTTCACTGAAACTTCTTTTTGTTGTAGGAAATTCGTGAATTGCTAGAACTTCAAAAGACATTATATACTTTTCTTCATGTGATAACTACGCATAATCTATCTTCCGTTTTCCTTTCCCCGAAAAGCCGGGGCTACTTGACTTCAATTATGCAGTTGCTGTTACATACATCTTGCCATCATAAGGATATTAATACAAGAAAGGTGCGTTAATAGCTTTGATTATTCATTACCTAAAGGGTTGGACATTCCAAAATTCTAGTATGAACAGGAACTGGATCTAACTTGCTGTTTTTTCTTTTTGTGAGATAGGCTTGTGTACAGATATTTATTAGATTAATTAAAGACTGGTGTGCCAGGCCTTATGGTGAAGAAAAGGTTTGTTCCCTTCTAAAATTTCATGCTTAGCTTTATTGTGTGGATTTAATTATATTTATGGCTCTAAAGGGTTAAACATTTTTAGGTACCTGGTTTCCAAAGTTTTATGATAGAGACCTTTGCAACAAACTGTTGTTTGTACAGTGTGCTTGATAAATCGTTCGAATTTGGTGACGCAAATACTGTAAGAATAATCTTTATTCATGTATTTTGTCTTTGTTTTGCGTTAGTTGGTGTTTATGTATGATATGTTGTTACAGACATACAGTAATAACCTTTATTCAGCCTTGTAAAACAATATGAACTACTTTGCATATTTGTTGTGCATTGTTGTTGTATCTCATAAAGGAGATCTAAATAAATATTTCAAAAAAAAAGAAAAGAAAAAGATTCCAGCATGATAGTTGAACATGGTTTGAGGGTTTTTACTTACTAAAGAAAAAAGCTTCATATGCCGGACTGTTACATCTTTTCATCCACATGCTTTCTCAGGTTGTTAGGAACTTACCCTTGATTGAATGTTTTATGATGCATGGTAAAAAGTGAAAGCTGCATTAGAGTTTGGTAAGGTGTGCAATGAAGTCAAAGTAGAAGAACTTTTATTGCCTGTTCTATGGGCTAAAAAATCATTATCTTCTATCTGCATGGCCTGTGAAGAGTGTTATTTGCTTTGCTTGGTGAATAGACAATGTTACTTCCAGAAATGGATATGCTGAGGGTTGATGTTCATTTCTTCATGCTTACTCTTGTTTGTTTTTTTTTTTTCTATGTTGTCAGCTTATTTTATTTGGAGAAATTGTGTTGGCTCAGAAGGTGATGTATGAGAAGTTTGGGGATGATTTTCTGGTTCATTTTGTATCAAAAGGATTTCCATCTGCACACTGCCCTCAAAATCTGGTAGAGCAGTATTGTCAAAAGTTGAAGGTACTATTTTCTATAATCTATTCCATTCATATCGTTTCTCTGGTTCATTAGTAGGTATAGCTCCTACTTATATTCTTTGGTTTAATTCATTGGTGGATAATATGATCAACTGACAGACACAACAAGTTAGAGCCTGCACTTGACAGCCTGAGAAACCTGGTTTCTGATAACGTTTACTTACTGAAAATTACTGTAATGAGTTACTTTTCTCTTAACTGTCTTTAATACTGAATGGGATTGAACCTTAGATATGGGTACTATGTCTTGCAGAATTGATAAAAAACTAATTACAAAATTATAATAGTTAGTAGAATGTTAATTCTAATCCATCTCAAGGATGGAAACGCTTGACACTTAACCACATGTTAAGGCAAAGTCACACTAATTGTATTCATTAAAATCTATACTTGAATTCATTACATTTAAATTTGCTTCATTGCGACCATGCTTTTATGGCCCTAGGTTTGGTTATCCTAATTGTTGACATTTTGTAAATGGTTAGTTGATATTGTTAGCTTAAATTGCATGAATTTTGCTGGAGCTGCTCTTAGTTTTCTCTATGCTTTGGTTATTTGTATTTGCAGGGCAGTGACATCAAGGCATTGAGATCATTTTACCAGTCGCTTATTGAAAATTTACGTCTCCAACAGAATGGAAGCCTTGTTTTCAGATAGCAGCATCAAGATGGGCAAATGATTATTTCAGTTTGATGCTCCAAAATTTTAAAGTTTTTTTGGCGTTCCATTTCTTGTTCACCAAAGGTTCCTAACATCTTGCTATTGTGTTGTTTTCCCTCATTTAGATAAATTTGCTTATGTTTGCTTATCATAAGTCAATATTGCAGGTTTCTTTATGTAAATATCATTTGTGTGCCTATTCCATGGACAACGAGGTATTTTTAAACCCCAGTCCTGTTTAAGTTGCAGAAATTATTCTTTGGTTATGTTTTCGCAATATGTGGCTGATTTCTTTCATTTTCTTTTATGGATTTTACAGTTGTATATTTCCGGAAGCAAGCCTTTTTTTTAATCATCAAGTTTCGTTAAATCCTTCAGTTTCAACATGCCGAGTAGGATGAAAGTTTTTGTGAGAGCTGTTCATAATTTTTTTCCCCCAATTTTTTAATACATTTTTCTTGGTTCATTTAGATCTCCAATCGAGTGTATGTGACTATATTATTACGAAAAAATAACTATAGGACATTCGTTTTATTCATTGCATTTATACAGTTATGTTTGTTGGCAAGGTTATGAGGTCAATTCAAACTGGCATTATACTTCCAATTTCAGTAGATGAGATGTTGATATGAGAGTTAATTTCTATATCAGAAATGAGAGTTATTAGCTGAAAATCTTTTTCAGTCAGTGATAAAACAATTCATGGAGTGGTTATTTCTTGAATCATATGAGTTTTGATTAGGTATTTGATTATGAAATGATAAGAGTTAAACATCTTCCAGGGTCAACACGTTTACACCTTAATGTGGTGAAGGGATCAAGATGATGGTGGGGGGTGTATTTCTTTTCTTTGAGGGTAAGAAGAAGCAGGACCACGTTCCAACCCCAACATTCACTAACAAATTTTTTTCCCAGTGGCTCATTTTCTCTATCTCCGTTGTGATATTTTCTAAAATTCAATGCTAAAATGGAGTGTTTATTCATAAACTTATATTTTGAAAAGGGTTAAAACAGTTGAGATTAGTGTTTAAGCCTAGTGACTTACGACTAGTTAGACTAGAGAAGCAAAATTAGTCGGCAGCATCTGGGAACAACAACACGGTACTATCCAAAAATCTACTTTGTCAACTGGGAAATATCAAAAGTTAAAAATGGTTGGTAGATTGGCCAAAAATGTGTTGAAAGATTTGGTTTGAATGGGAAATAGACCAGGAGATATTGATGCAGCAATTGTTTCTCATTCGCAATAGTTTTTTCATAGTATGAAAATGGGATAGGTTATACTTTTTCTTGATACGAAATCCTCATACATCATTTGTCAAGATGGCCTTCTTCGTTCAGGATCCTGAGGCTGAGTGCGCCCTTCAAAGATTTGGGCAAATATGAATAAGTAAAATCGATTGAAAACTCTGAAATAATTCTTGCTTAAAATGGTTATTAAATAGTCAATCAAAACCATTTTTAGGCCTACATACAAGCTCTCCTTTTTGAATGCGTAAAGCATGATTAATCATGACCCCATTGAAAGTTTTGTTAAATTATAAAGAATTTAGGGTAAAGATTCGACCAAATTTCCTTTTTCTTCATCATGAAAAAACTTATTTTTCTTGGTAGTCTGCAATTGCCTCTTAATGTCAAATAAGTATCTCTCCTAATAAAAACCCTGACTTGAATGCTATTGCTTCCTTTATATCAAAGTTCCAAAAAAGAAAAGAGAAAAGGAAAAATTATGTACATTAAGTACCGGTCTTGGGTCGTTTGAAATATTTCATTTAATTTTAAGTGGGCATTTGTTTATTGTTCAGTCATAAACATTGTCCCTGGACCTCGAAGGAAAGGACTGCCCACCTCCTAAAAAGGGTTTTTACCATGTTTCCTGGTGCAGCAGTGACATGAACTAAGGAAGCTGCCTGCTTTATTCCTCCAGGATGCGAGCGAATGTTCCTTAAAAGAGATGGGCAAAACACGAGAGCTACAGAAACGAGTGGTGGAGTCACCAGCGTGAAATGTCACCACATGGACCATGCTGACATATATGGCGAAGACTTTGATTGGAATGATTTAGAAAAGCCTTGTACTGTTAAAAAAGATAACTACATATCTGTCCCTTTCCCTTCGTTTTGTACCCCGTCAAGCAAGAATTTTTGAATTTTCATTCCAAATTTTAGGTAGACTTACAAGAGCCCTAGTTTCTGTCTTGGTACTCAACCCTTCCACGACAATTGCTCACCTTTTTTGGACAACGCCATACATGTAAGAGTTTTCTTTGTAATCTTATTAGATCCATCTCTCTCTCTCTCTCTCTCTCTCTCTCTCTCTCTCTCTCTATATCTATATATATATATATATATAAAGAATTAAATCAGTTGTTAAGTGTAAAAAGCAAAGGAGCTTTATCAAAGGTTGTACCATTCAGGGGTTTTAATGGTTTCTTCATTGACCCTAAGCAATCTTTGTGGGGAATTCAGAGTCAATAAAATACAGACCCCCAACAATTATATCAACAGCTAAAATTTTGCTTTAATTGGGATTGCAGTCATTTTGGTGCTGCTCACTAAAAATCCACTATGACGTTTAAAGTTGGCCTTAAGTTATTAACTAATATAAGTGACTTAGTGATTCAATTAGGACGGACAAAATGTACCAAACCAAAAGTCTTTCTGAGAAGTTAGGTTTGGAATAAATAAATTTGGAAATTTTCACTTGGGTACTGCTGAGAAAACCAAAATTTACTTATACATTAAGCAACAGAGCTCAAATTAATTAATCAAGTCAACTAAATTTTAATCTCAAAAAGTGATCAGCTAGCTGGAAATGTATTACTATTGTAATTAGATATCAGTACTATGGTAAAGATTGATGAATTGGTATGAAAAACGCAATTACATAGAAGAGAGCTAAGGTTGGATTGAAAAAGATAGCATGGAAGCAAAGGTAAATGGATATCTAAAGAGACCAAAAAGCAGTCAGTGGTCATTTCATCCTTAGTGCGATCGTCTCCCCTTGTGAAAAAGCAAAGGGGTGGTGTGCTTGAATCATAAATCGTTGTAATTGGGAGAAGAAAAAGTACCAAGGAGACTTTTCCACCCAAGATATTGGTATAGAGGACCTTGTGGTGGTGATCATCTCTATTGTACATTGTCATTAAGTCATGGAATTGAAATATATTGGTCATACATATCCATGAGGAATTGAAAACAAAAATGGTGGGACTCAAAAAATATCCTCAGTAACCTCGGGACAAATGGAGAAAGTAGAATATCTTATCATCAGCAACTTGCAAAACAAACAATGGAGAAGGTACAACTTTGGGTTGGGGGGCCCTTTCATCGTGTTGTTATAGCCAAAATTACTGAAGTTGATCAGCTTCATTATCTTAGGAATGCAGTCCCAGCTCCTGGAAGCGAGAAGGATTTGTCCTTCTCCATGGTGACAGGGATTTAAGGGAGAGGCTATGTATAGTTTAATGAGAAATTGATTTAAATATTTATCTAGCCAGCTTAAAAACCTGCTCAATGAAACCGCGGCCCTGGTGAGATAGCACTGCAGTTGTTTTCTTTGAGCATGTTTCGGATTTGTGGATTACATTATTGATTACAAGGTGCTTGTTGACGGTTTTCAGAGAAAATTCCAAGTGTTTAGGTAGGTTATTAGGTAGTTGATCAAGACATGTATGTAGGCATTAGTTCTACAAACAACCTTGCTTCTGCTTTCATGCTTCCTCATGAAAAGCAAAAGTTTTTCCATGATTTGATATATATCCGTTAATACATCCATATTGATAATCTTGACATATTCATTTATTTAAGTGTTCAAAATTTAGGAGAAATACTGAAGTTTTGATTTTTATTTTGCATGATTTTATACTTTAATTTCAATTGTGCCTATAATAGTAGAGATTAAGAAAATACACATGTGAATGCGTGCACAAACAGTACCCACATCTTTCAATATACTAAAAAAATTTCTATTCACCAATTATTTATTTTAATTATCGGGAAAAATATAGAAAAAATGAGTCTTGTGAGAGTTGAATTTGAGATTTTAAATGGAGATATATATATATATATTTGAAAAGTCGAGTTTTCTAGGTGTTGTTGAGTTCTAAAGCATGTATAGGTAGATAGGAATCAAGAAAAAGATTATAAACTCTAGGCATTAGCTAAAGTAAATGTAAAATGTGGTTGCAAGCTTGAAGACAATGATGATTATGGGGCAAATGGGAATGACATGGTCAATTAGGCAATCTGCTCTCATATTACTATAGCTTGTATACCATATTGCCTTTTCCTTTCAATTTTATTAATTTTCCATAAAATAAAATTGGTATGAGAGGAGGCCGGTGCCACCGGACCCTTGAGCCATCGGCTGATAGCAGTAACCGTGTGACGCTACTGAAGGAATGAATCATTTATGGCTTATTAAAAAAGCAGCTATCTTTCCATAAGCTTTCTTTTTCCTACTCATGATCCCACACGACCGACACACGCAAGTGCAGAGAAGAGCCACATAGGCATAGAACTGGATTTTATAATAATATGAACCATTCGGAAAAGTTTGTCAGCCACTTCAGAGAGTCCCCAAGAAACCAGCTATGAAGCTACATAGAAGGCTCAAACCAAGCATACGACGAAAAGAAAAGAGCCAATGACCTTAATTTTAATAATATGAAACCATCCAAGAGTTTTTGTGCTGATAAGACCTTTTGCAAGTCTTAAGGTTGGCCCAAAGTCAATCTTCTTTCTGGCCAGAATACGGACTTTAGGATTCCAAATTCGTTATTTAAATGCCACTTCGCTATCCATGAGCTACAAAACTTTTCTTGCTGCACAATAGATAAGAAAATTGGGCAAGAAGGAAGAGGAGGGTCATAGACTTGGTTTGGTTGCGTCTTCTAATCCAATCATATTCTACTCCTTGTTTCCTTTCCTGCTCAGCCTTATATAAACCGCATTGGAGCTTGATCTGGAAGCCTAACACAAAACTTTCAATAAAAATATGGCCCTCAAAAAGTGTTTGCCATGGAAAAGTATCCTCCCCAACTGCATCAAATCCAACAACCCATCCTCAGGGCCTAAAGTTCATGCTTCCAAACACAGTCCCAGCCAAAGGCTATCACTCTCTGATATCAGCCACCCTGGCTCTCCACTGTCACTCAGCGATCTGTCAAATTCTCTTATAAGCCTTCATATTTTTACCCTCAAGGAGCTAGAAGTGATAACGCACAAGTTCTCCAAGAGTAATTATCTCGGTGAGGGTGGGTTTGGACCAGTATACAAGGGGTTCATTGATGACAATCTCAGGCCAGGCCTCAAGGCTCAATCTGTTGCTGTGAAGGTCCTTGATTTGGCTGGCTCTCAGGGGCATAGGGAGTGGCTGGTGAGCATTTATATGTTACCATTTCAATTCTGTTCCTGATGAAGTTTGAGTCGAAGATCGTAAAAAGACCAGTTAATTCTGATTTTGTACAGGCTGAAGTTATTTTCCTGGGGCAGTTAAAGCATCCCCACCTGGTGAACTTAATCGGATATTGCTATGAGAAGGAGCACAGGCTTCTGGTGTATGAATACATGGCACGTGGCAACTTAGAAAACCAACTTTTTAAAAGTTCGTTTGCTCTCCTCTTTTGGAATTAATATAATTTTGAACAGTTCGTACTCATGACTGAAAATTGTTTAATTCTTGCCTTTAATGCAGGATATGGTCCGCCATTGCCTTGGCTAACCAGGCTCAAAATTGCAGTTGGAACTGCAAAAGGTCTAGCTTTTCTCCATGAAGAAGAGAAGCCAGTCATATACCGGGATTTCAAAACTTCAAACATCCTGTTAGACTTGGTAACAACGCCCCTGACCCAATACCAAAAAAGGAATATTAAATTGTCCAACTTGTTTTCACATATCAGTAAAGACTGAAGAGAAACTGAAGGAACAAAGGTTTATTTTGTTGTCAGGCTTACAACGCAAAGGTCTCTGATTTTGGATTGGCAACGGATGGTCCAGAAGGAGAAGACACTCATGTTACCACTTGCGTCATGGGCACGGAAGGCTACGCAGCTCCTGAATACATAACGACCGGTACTATAACTTTTATCTTAGTTTTGCTGAAATCATTCTTAATTTAATAATGGTTGACACGAGTTAATGCCATTTCTGATTTTCCAGGGCATTTGACGACTATGAGCGATGTATTCAGCTTTGGAGTAGTACTTCTAGAACTGCTGACGGGCAGGCGATCCGTGGACAAGGCCCGACCTGGTCGAGAGAAGAACCTGGTGGAATGGGCACGGCCTCTTTTGAAGGACCCTTACAAACTTGATGGAATAATGGACCCAAGGCTTGAAGGGCAGTACTCAACTGAGGGGGCAAGGAAGGCTGCTGCATTAGCTTATCAGTGTCTGAGCAACCAACCCAAATCTAGACCAACCATGAGCAACGTGGTCAAGGCCTTGAAGCCTCTCCTGGACTTAACTGACATCCCGATTGGACCCTTTGTATACATAGTTCCAACTCAAGGCAACAACGACGAGCATATTGTGCAGAAGAATGAAGAAACAGAGGAAAAGCAATGTGATGATGAGATAAAAATTGAAAAAAATGGTGGACAGCGGGGTGAAAAGAAAGAGAAAAGTCGACTACCGAGCCAGCAAGGTCGCGGGCGTAGACGTCGGGTGAAACCATCAAGGTCTCGGGCTGTCTATTCGGACACTGATTTGTATAGAACTCTTGGAACTAGTTTGTACTCTCCCAAGCACTAGAAGCAATCAGGCAGACATGCATACTTTCGTATAATCAGACTGTACATTGAGATTTTTTGTTTTCGCTTCCTTTCATTGTTTATCTCTTTAGAAGTTTCCATTTGCCTGTTGTTGGACTTATTGCATTTTTTATTCCATAGGATATACGTGTGATTCAAATACGTCCCGAACCGTGATGCAATTTTTCCTGCGTCTCCATGGCTTTTCCTAGAAAATACATGATTTATTTCTGCTTTGAAAACACACACCTTCTCTTTGTTTGTCCTTCATTATACCAGAAATTTTGATTAGCCTAAGCTGTGGGCCATGGATAAGGTTTGACGACAAATAATGTACGATAATACAAGTTAACTATACGCTTCCAGTTTTTCCACAATAATTTCAGCAGCCAATTCCCTTCTTGCAATTATGCTAATTATGTTAGAAAGGATACAAATTCTGACTTTCCCTGAACCTTCTTGAAAGCAATTGACTGCAATTTATTTTCTTGGGACCTTGTTAATTAGTGCAAACTTACCTAAACTCTTGTGTATTTGAATGTTAAATCTTTATTGGCTTCTGCTGTGAAATTTTTAAATGGTCAATATTCCATGATAAGATGAACTGGAAAATCTAAGCTTGTGGGCATATATGTTCAAAGTCCTATTACCTAAACTCCGTCCATGAGTCTGCTGCAGAGTTTCAAAAGCTGAGCCACAACTTCTTTCCTGCTAGACTACCACACAAGACTTTGCAATTCCACCACTCCACCAACCCTCTTATCCCCACCTTGTGGCCAGAGACAGCGCACGGTTTTTAGCATTTCCCCGTTTTGAACACTTACCTTCTGGTTTAAAGTTAGGCAACAGAAGAAATTATATAAACTTGAAAACTCTTAATTGCTATAATTCTTTAGTAGAACTAGAAGTTATACCAGAATTTCGTGGCATCATGTAGAAAAAAATGAGGCAAGGAACAAGCATTAGTAGCACGACTGGCCAGTTGTTATCCACCACTAGTGTGAAATCAATACAAACCCAAACAGTTAAAACTCTATATTTATTCGAAATTAAAAGGCATATTTCAGCTTAGACGCACAGCCTCAAGATGCTTAACGTTCATACCGCACAACTTGCATAATGGGGAAGCTACGCAGTAGTGTTGGAAAACATTGAAACGAAATAAAAATCCCTCAAGGAACTCTTTGCATATTAAATAAATTTGTTAACGATGTTGAGTTGGTGAAGACCAACGCTGAATTTCAACTCATACAAAACCACCCCCTTACCCATTCAAACTGTGCAGCTCATGCTTGGAGGCTTCAATTATTGCAGTAATATCAGAGAGGTGATGAAACTATGATTCATTATTCAAAACATTTAGAAATTAAAAATTGGTACAACAACTCTCAAAATTCTCATACAAGCTTCCACAAAGCAGACGTAATTCTAAGGTATGGCTGACATTCTTATAAACATATTTCAGCAATTACTATTATTAAAAAAATTATTTCTTTTCAATATAGTTGAATTTTTTCTGAGTTTTCTAATTAGATACCTAACAGGTTGTATGAGAATTTCTTCTATAATAGTCATTGCTGAAATATGCTTATAAGAATGTCAAAATATAAAAGGAGCTTAATAACAGAAGAAAAAAATCAATCATCTAGTCGAATGGTAATTCAAGTTACAGCTGGCATGAAGTTAAAAAAGGAAGAAAACTTGTAGCTGGAAAATTAAGCTCTTTCTCTCCTTACAATCTTGCAAAGAAAAATACTAAGCAGTCTTAACTTAAAAGGGTTCTCCTTCGGATCAAATACAATTGAAAGCTTTTTCAATTTCTAAATATCAACTGGGCGTTAACCTTGAACATTTGTTGCATAACGCAATGCTTCCACTATTAAGTGCCCCATCATTTTTTCGGTAAAAGCCAATGTAAACCCAGTGGCAGGTGATTGGACCCTCTGGTCCTTGTAATTGCAGGATCAAGCCCACAGAGTGCTCATGCTACAAAGTTTTGACCAGCAATGCAAAGATTCATTTTGACCATGAGTTGCACCAAAAGCACTATTCTATACAGCACATAAGCGAAACAAATATCTAAGAATCCACTGACAAGATAGTCTGCATAACTTCTGATTCTGGTATGCTTGCTTCTTTTCATTTAATTCTCCTAAAAAATTTGGTAAGCTTCTAACACCCAAATAAGAGGAAGCTAAAGCACAGCAGCATGCCTTCTATAATGCTACTTTTTCTTTTGTTTTCCCCTTTCATTTTTTGGATGAGTTTTCTTTACTTTCATCATCATTTTGAACCCGGATCCAGTCAGAATGATATTTGTCATCATACTGAACAGCCTTCCCATCAAGGAATGGTTCTCCTGGAAAAACCAAATGCATTTTAACACAAAAAATAAAAAGCTCATAATTGGTTAAGAAAAGCCTCTAATCGTAGATATGACCACAACAGTGCTTGACACTCAATTGTTAAGAAGGCAGGAAGAATTGTTTAGGAATGGTATGAACATGAAAGTGAGGAAGAAACTCCAAGCAGATTAGCAGAACAAACTAAAACTGATAATTGGCTAAGAGAAGTACCTAACGGCAGAAAGGAATTACTGCAATTGTTATAAAGAGAGGAAGAATTGCTTATGTATAACAAATTTCATAAATATGATTGAATTCAATGTCATTCAGATCCATCAAGTGCATTGCATGAAAAGTTCTTCTCCTTACTGATACTGATTGCTGTAAAACAGAGCTTAACATCTAAGAAGAGTTTGGATTACGACACAATAGGAGTTTTGCTTTGCTATATAAAGACATAACATAAACATCAACAATTGACTTCCAAACTAATGAATAGAAAACTTTAGGGTATATGAACTACCTCACTTCCATGTCTCAATTTCCTGAGCCAAAGAAAGTATTCCAACTTTTTGTTTAAGAAACAACAATAGCCCACACAAATTCTAACTTCTAATGATGTGAACAACTGAACTGAGCAATATCATTACTGTTGAACATGAAGTAATACAAGAAAGGAGTTCAGAAGTAGTCAACTATAGATGCATCATCATAAATAATTGCATTCTCTCCCATGCCTTTTCTTTTATCTTTCAAACAAGTTTCTATCATCCTCAAAAGAAACAAAATGAACTTATTAGTCTCTTATCCAGAAATCAAGCACAAGCCGAACTAAAAAAAGTCTATTATTCAATATCTTAATAACATAATAATCCATAATGCGGAGCAAGTAAGACAATGCAAAGCTAGAAAAATTACCTCCATAGCTATTGTCCCCGTGAACCAAATAAGAATCTGGTAAAACCCATTTCACATTAGGCAGAGCTGCAACCAACACAATTCTGTATTACTACTTCACAATCTTAAAAAGGAATAAATTTGGAAAGTAAAACACAAAAATAAGATAGAAAAAGCTTACATTTAAGTTTAAAAGTCAAATCTTCCGGTACTTTGCAACCAAATGCATAGTAATACTTGGTGGAGACAGAATATATAGACTTCTTAGCTGCCTCTTCACTGCATATTAATACAAAGAAATGAAACAAGAAAAATCATTTTTGGACTGCGAAAAGGAAAAAAATGAAAGGGTTTTTACCTTCCTAAAGCCATTGCTAGGGTCTTAATGTAGGTGTCAACGATCTCATCTCTAAGTGGGTATCCCTTGGGAGCCTCCATAACCACGAACCAGTGCTCATAGTCGCATCCCTCCACCAGAGTTGGCACCCGAGTCAACTCGGCCCTTTCAGCAACCACTGAGTTATTAGATCCCGAGCCGATGGAGAAGAATCTCGAGAGTGTACGAGACGGATAGGTTGACAAAGGGAGACGGGCAAGTTTTTGAACGACAACTGACGACATTTTTTTCGGGTGTATCTGTTTTTTTTTCCTTGTTCTTTGTTGGATTATCTGCTAGAAAAATAACTCGTAAAAATATTTTTTCTGCATAAATTATCTTATAATCAAATTTAATATTTTTTTGTTGTTTGAATAAATTATTAAGTAGTTGTTTTATCTAATTTTTTTTAATTTATTTATTTTTTAAAAGTAAAAATCAAGTCAAATATAAATTTTATTTTAAAAAAATATTTTTTTTAAAATATAAAATTTTTAGAAAAAAGTTTCAAGAAAAGCTCCAATAAGGAGCTTTTTTTTCTTTTTTTTAATAGTATAGGAAAATTTTGATTTTTATTTTAAAAATATTCTTATTTGTTAAAAATAATTATCATATTACCTTCTCAAAAAAAAAATTATCCTCTATGATAATTTTAACCAAAATTATAACTTATAAAAAAGAACTTATAAAAAAAATTTAACAAATAACTTTAGCTTAATTCTAAAAACTATTATTTTTCATAAGACCTTCATAATAGCTTTTAAGCTAAAAAAAAGATAGGCCAAATAGGTTTTAATTTTTTTTATTGTTTTGGGTTTATTTTTAGGCATAATATCCAAAAAAATCTTTAAACTATTTAAAAAAATTAAAATAAGTTGTTATGTTTTTATTATATTTAATTAAATTTTTATATTTTTATTTTAAGTCAAATAAGTCTTTATATTTTTATTTCAAATCAAATAAGGTTTTATGATTAATAATTAATTTAATCAAAATATTATTTGTTATTTTATAACTAGTAGAATTCACATGATATGCTAAAATATTATAATTAATGATGATATGATATGTTAATATATCATAACTGATGATAATGTAACATGTTAATTTGACATGATCATATTATCATATGACATTTTTTATCTTTCACATAAACATCATGTTAATACCATATAGATATAAAATGATAAATAGCATTTGGGCTAATGGTAATTAATTAATCATTAGTCATAAGGGTTTATTTAACTTAAAATAAAATTATAAGTACTTGATTGAAAACTAGGACAATTACATGTTATTTATGTATCTATTTTTTAAAGACAATGGCTTTAGCTAAGGAAACAAGTGGAATAAGAAATAATTTGATAGAAAAACAAGGCTGCAAACTTCCCAATTACAAACTCAGATAATAGAAATATGTACTTTGTACTATAATGTCTTAATGTTTCAATTCCTTATGTAATTAGCTGAGAATTAGTAACAACGCCAATATGGTCTTTTGCATAGGACTTTTTGTCTTTTTGTTATTTGTGTATATGTTTGTACAGTAGCTCATTCATCAATGAATTAATGGGAACATTTCCGACAATCATTCAATTGTAAATTTTGCTATGGTTGGTATAGTTCTTGCCTTAATTTCCTATTCTTCATATCATTTATATAATTCTAATGTCATTTTTAATCAACATACATGGATTCTGGATTCTGGTGTTACAGATCATGTAACATGTCCCTTGCATCATTTTATATCCTTTAAGTATGTTAATGGTGTTTATGTTGAAATGCCCAATAACACTAAAACTGCAATTTCCCACATAGGTTTAGTTAGATTGTCTCGACTCATACTTTTACACAACGTTTTATATGTTCTAGTCTTTAGGTTTAACTTGATCTCAGTAAGTAAATTCACTAAATCCAAAGCATATCATTTGATTTCCGATGATGATAATTGTGTGCTTCAAGACACAAACACTTTAAGAATGACTGGGCTTGCTAAAGTTAAGGTAGGCCTATACGTACTGCAGATTTAGTTTCCTACCACTACAGTAGATGGTTATGCCCCTAAAGAATTTGTCTTTCAATCCTCTTCACAACAGATTTCAAAAATTCAGCCTAAGAGTTTAGAAAATAGAAATTCCAATATTTGAAATGTCTATTGTAACAAACTTTCAAAGAATTTTGATGTTGGCACTATAGGTTAAGCCACCCTTCTTTAAATAAAAAGTCTGTTATTGAAGGTTTTTTTTTTTTTTCTGATGTATGTTTTTCTCCTAATACAGTTTGTGAAATTTGTCCTCTTGCCAAACAAAAAAGACTTTTAATTTTTTTTTACATAAGAAATCTTTTATATGATGTTTTGAACTAGTTCACATGGACATTTAGGGCCTAAATGCAATAATTGCTTTAAAGGGATACAAATATTTTCTAACTGTTATAGATGATTACAACAAGTTTACATAGATTTTTCTTATGAAAAACAAGTCATAAGTTATTTCAATAGTGCCAGGTTTTTATAACATGGTTAAAAACTAATTTAATTAAAGAATAAAACAGATTAGATCTAACAATGGACTTGAATTTAGGCAATATAATTTTTATTCTTCGGAGGGCATAATCCATCAACTATCATGTGTGGATACTCCTCAACAAAATAGGGTAGTTGAGAGGAAACACCAACATTTGTTACATGTAGCTTGATCATTAATGTTCCAAGCCTCTATGCCCATACATTTCTAACGTCACTCAATTCTAACTGCCTATCACCTTATAAATAGAATACCATCTTCTGTTCTAAATAACAAAACTCTCTATGAACTTTTTTTTTGATAAGTTGCTAGCATATAATCATTTAAAGGCATTTGGTTCATTATGTTATGCTTCCACTCTTGCACATCATAGGAAAAAGTTTGATCTTAGAGGTAGAAACTGTGTTTTCATTAGATATCTTATTGGCATAAAATGATATGTGTTGTATAATTTGCATACTCACGAAATTTTCAATTCTAGATATGTTATATTTCATGAACACATTTTTCCTTTTAAAGACAATACTACTGATTCTACATTTGCTAATCCATTTTTACAGCGTATTGATTGCCCTACACCTCAAAACAATGAACTTTATTTCCTCTTTTCTAAGGACCCCAATTCTATTGACTATTCCATAATGCCCGTTACTTCTTATAACCTTCAAAACAGACCAAACACACCTACCAATAGTAGAATTGAATTTGATGATCGTGCTGAGGAATCGTTATCTCCTGAGATTGACATTCCCATTATTGATTCTGAACCCAAACACACTTCTTATCCAAGAAGAAGCACAAGAGTTAAAGAAAAACCCAAATACTTAAATGCATACTTTTGTGACCTACCTAAAAACTCTAACAATTTTGTTCTTTATCCCATTACTAATCATTTATTTGTGCAAAGATTGTCTCCTTCTTTTGTAGCTTTCACTACTTCACTTAGTCATATCCCAAAACCTTATAGTTTTTAGTAAGCCATGTTATATGATCAGCGGAGAAAAGCTATGAACTCTAAAAATGAAGCATTGGAAGAGAATGAGACTTGGACTATAGTCCCTTTACCAAATAATGCATGCACCGTTGGTTGCAAGTGGGTGTACAAAGTGAAGCTTAATGTTGATGGAACAGTGGAGAGATACAAAGCTAGGATGGTAGCAGAAGGCTATAGCCAAGTGGAGGGGTTTGACTATACTGAGACTTTCAGTCAGTAGCTAAGTAGACAACAATCAAAACATTTTTTGCTATTGCAGCAGCAAAAGGATGGGATTTATGTCAACTAGACATAAATAATGCTTTCCTAAATGGAAAGCTTAATGAGATTGCATACATGGATCTACCATAAGGATACAAAGTGAAAGGTGATTTTCCTCTTGGTAGCAAATTGGCTTGCAAGCTAAAGAAGTCTTTATATAATCTTAAACAAGCCTCAAGGCAATGGAATTTCAAGCTCACTGAGTCATTACTTAGTTATGGTTTCAAGCAATCTAAAAGTGATTATTCCTTGTTCACATACATTACCACTAATGGTGATTTTGTTGCTTTTTTAGTATATGTAGATGGCATTATCATTGGAAGTACAATCAAAGAATTTCTCAAATCCAAATTCAAGTTGAAGGACTTGGGAGCACTAAGATATTTTCTTGGCTTGGAAATTTCAAGGTCTACAAAAGGTATCTTTCTCTCTTAACACAAATATACATTAAATTTGCTCAATGAATATGGGTTACTTGAAGCAAAACCTGTCACAACTCCTATGGATTATAATAGCAAGTTGACCAGAGAAGATCATACAGTTTTCCTTGAAAATGCCACACATTATAGAAAATTGGTGGAGAGATTAATTTATCTCACATTCACCGGACTTGACATCTATTTTGTTGTACAATGCATCTCTCAATACATGTACAAGCCTAGACATTCACATTTACAAGCTACATATCATGTATTGAGGTATTTAAAAACAGCACCTGGGCAAGGTATAATCCTCTCCACTAATTCTAGCTTACAACTTCAAGCATTTACAAATAGTGATTGGGCTGGATGTAAGGATACTAGAAAATCTGTTTCAAGTTTTGGTATTTTTCTTGGTGGATCTATTATCAGTTGGAAATCAAAAAAACAATTTATTATAGCTAGAAGCTCAATAGAAGCAGAATATAGAGCAATGTCACAAGCCTGCTATGAAATATTGTGGATATTGTATCTACTGCACAATCTTAGGATTGAAAATAAAGTTGCAGTCCTTATGTTTTGTGACAATCAATCTGCCATATACATTTGCAAGAATCCAATCTTGCATGAAAGAACTAAGTATATTGAAATTGTCTACCACTTCATTAGAGACAAAGTTCAAAATGGTACCATTGATCTTCAACATATCAATACTAAAGACCAGGTAGTAGATATATTTACTAAATCTTTACATCCTACTCAATTCCAATTCTTGATGTCAAAGTTGAGCATGGATGGTATCCATGCTCAATTTGAGGGGGTAATAGAAATATGTAATTTGTATTATAATGTTTTAATGTTTCAATTACTTATGTAATTAGCTAGGAATTAGTTACAGGGTCAATATGGTCTTTTGTATATGACTTTTTGTCTTTTTGTTATTTGTGTATATGTTTGTACGGCAGCTCTTTCATCAATGGGAACGTTTCCCATTTTCTTCTTTCTGGCATTCTCTATTTTTTTTCAGTTTTATCATCAAACCCTCTCAACTTTTTCAAAACAAACCTTCTAAGACCCTAATAAGCATTGCATCAAACAACTTTT